CTTCCTTTGGGACCTGTGTTTCCTCTAGGACCCGGAACTCCCTGAAACACACATCATTGCGGTTAGTAAACACTGAATCTTCATCAATGCGCACGTCAGTCAACAGGGGACTAAAGTCAGTCAAAGCAACTGTGAATCTGCTCATATCACCATGATCAGCGTCAGCGAAACACGTCCAAACCTCACTGCTATTGGCAGGATTACACTTTCTGATGCTTCTGAAGCATAAACTAGCCTAATATGTGTAATAAACCTGCCCTAACCCATCTGAGACTCAACGCTACAGTCAGCTCTTCAGGTTTGTGAATGTGCGCCCCATGTCGGAATGTCTGGCTGTGTTTTGATTTGTGTAACTCCGCCCACTGCCCGTTCAGACAATTAAATCACAGCACCCCAGGTTGCCAGATGGTGGAAAACAGTGTAATTGGTTTCAGTCATGAAGGAGGACAGAAGCAGACACAGAAAACTCCCAAAGATTCAGAGTTATTAAAATACACACATCATTAGCAAACAGTATAAATATCATAGTATAAAAGCATAGCTGAGCAGATTACAGTGTATGACTCGACCTTCTTTACAATCGTATCTCTTTGGCATCAATCTGGCAACCTGGAGTGTGTCAGTCTCAGGATTGGCTCTGATGTTTTACATTTGGACTGCAATACCAAGTTCAACCACTAGTTGGTCCTACCTAAAGCAAATTTTAAGGGTTTGTTCACACAAAAATGGTGATTCAGCCATTAATTACTCGCCCTCATGTCATTCCAAACCCACAAATAAACATAATTCTGAGAGTTCACCCTCAGCTGTTGATCGATTATAAAGCTTGTTAGGCATGCTGTTCCAGGAGAGAGCCCTGAGCTCATAAGATCCTCGAGCCTGGGGCTCCCTCCCGTTTGCAAGGCGAGAGGGGAGTTTGAGCGCAGGCAGATGTGGAGAACTCCCTTGCTGTAGTAGCTGATGAACAGATAGTGATCGCTCTTAAGAGATTACTACTGACTAGGAGCATGTCTATGTGCTGATTAGTCAATTAACTTAAGCTGCATGTTTTTAGATGGTAGGAGGAAACTGGGGGGAAACCTACATGAGCACGGAGAGAATGGGTAAACTCTGCACAGAAACGTCAGCTGGCGAACGTCATACTAGAACCAGTGACGTTCTTGCTGTGAGGCCAACAGTGCTAACCACTGGGCCACCGTGCCACACATCTAGAAATGGAGGAGGGGTAGGGGTGAAAGGGGGGATTCTTCAAAACGAAAATGTTTGTTATATGGAGTTCAGGGTGTTTATAGTGGATTAGGAATCATCTGATTGGTGAATGATGAATTGGATAATGCAATCATAAGCACATGATCCTCTCGACATTACAAATAAACTTCACTTAATGAAATGCGAGAGACCCTCCATAGAGAGCAAGGGACATGATCTAAACAGTCCATGCGTCAGTAGTGGTAAATCAGGGTGCAAATTACAGAGGGATTTGACCACCATAATTAATGCTTGAACCCCCCAGACAGGGATGTGGGAAAATATTGGCAGCATTGCAGGCATGCAAATTTGTCCCTGTTTGGCAAACTGCATCATTTAATATATCAAAAACAGGTGGTTTGTGAAACTAGTTTGTTGGAATAACCCATCACTGGTTATTCAACCCCTGAAAACACTGATATAAAGTTTGATTGATAAATGAGATGTAATTGAATTAAAGACCCTCTTGATAGACACTGCTCTAAATCATATTTATAAAGCTACGAGAATACGTTTGTGCACAAAAACTAAAATAACGACTTTATTTTTCATCTCTTTATAAAATTGTGATTGAACCACTGAGGAAGTGAAATATAATGCTTTTCTCCATGTATTCGGTTCATTTCTGGACTTGCTGTCTATAAAGGGTCAGAGATCTCTTGAAGTTCATCAAACATCTTCATTTGTGTTCTGAAGATGGTCTCAGGGGTTTGGAACAACATGAGGGAGAGTAAACCATTTCAGAGCTTCTTCGTTTTGTGCTTACGTGTGCAACAGCCAAAATTATTATTATTGTGCACTGCTGTGTAGTTCAAAAGCCACTGCATATTACACTGAAAATCAGATCAAAGATGTAAGAATGGATCCAGGATAACTGCAAAGAAATACACCAAAACATTATAGAAGCAGCTTCTGCATCAACAAACAAACATGTCAGAATCATTTATGAGTGAACTGTCCCTTTAAGAGTCTCTTCGTTCCCTTTAATAACCCTGACTAAAGCGGAGGAGCATGGTGTAGTCTACGGATAGCTGCTTTGCTTTAATGAGCTTGTTTCCTGCACCTCATTAGCATTATTATTTTACATCTGTGTGTTTCTACTCACTCTCTCTCCTTCCAGTCCTGGCGGTCCCGCAACTCCTGGTGGTCCGATGAAGCCCTGAAACAGAAACACAAACAAGTCACCACTAGATAAAACCTGCATGTTTAGTCCTCCATCTGTCATCAGATCATTCCTGAATAGTGCTCAGAGAATTCTGATCTCATGCTGGTGTAAACTGCTCTCTGATGCTGCATTCATTTATAGCGCATGAAGAAAATCAGGGACTCGGAGGAAAACACAAGTCTGTATCTTTAAAACGCCCCAACAAATTGGAACGGAAATTGGTGCGTGTGTTCTCTATCATGTCTTGATGGTATATGAGAAGTTTAGGGACAGCGCCACCAACTGGCCAAGAGATTCTGAATTTTAAATGAGACATGACATCTAAAAAACGTCTATTAAACAACTAAACTACACAGCCTCACTTCTCACACTGTATTATCTATACTGCTGTAACTTACACCTAATGATCCATTCTGCAGAACAGTATTGTCATGTCTGTATCAGGTGTGAAACCTGATCTCTTCCACATGTTGAACAGCAGACACACACATCATTCATGGTGTTTGTGTTTGCTGCGGGCTGGTGGAGCTCTATATGCGCTGTTCTTCTTTCTTGTTAAGTGAGATCACATGTACTATCGGTCAAAGATGAAAGATTCAGCCCTCCTCCTGTCTGTGCACATTCCAGAGCCGCGGCACATGGCCAGATGCTGAAAAAGAGCCTGTGTTTCTGAAACATGAACATCTCGGATCTCGACACACGCTGCAGATGATCAGTGTTATGCACTATACAATTGTTTTAGATGATATCTGAGGGGAGATTTGGTTCTGAGTTTACAGTCAATCTGTTTGGATGCATTTGGATGTGGCTTGCTTCTTCTACAGTAGTTTTTCCTGTCCTTAAAGGCGTAGTTCACACACAATCTTTAATTTGTTCCCCTGGAGTGTTTCCAAATCTTCTTCTTTCTTCTTTTGAGCACAAAGATGAGATTCTGACGAAACCTGTAAACACTGACTCGAGCAGTAGGAAAAACTAATACTATTGAATAGTGAATAAATACAGCTTTCTTCACAATATAATCTTTGTGTTCAACTATTGGTGTGTAAATGTAAAAGTTAACGGTGTGTAAATGATAAGATTTCTTTTGGCTGAATTATTGAAATTGGTCAACAGCCAAAAATCATTATAAAAATGTATTATAAATACTGAAAAATCAAAACTTCAAGATATTTTAAACTGATTTTCAGCAGCAACTATTGGAGAAAACCTGACAAAAATATCAGATATTAAAAATACATTTCATTTGATTGATTGATTGACTGATTGATTGATTGATTGATTGACTGATTGATTGATTGATTGATTGACTGATTGGTTGATTTAGTGTGTTGCTGCTACTAACAGGAACTATTCAGGACTTAGGGAATTGCCTAGATTGAAGATGATAATCTATATTTTTTGCACAACAAAATTAAATAAATAAATAAATAATGTCAAACATGTACTGTATTTATAAACAAGCTAAAAAATCCCGAACTTTGACTTTGTTTGAAACTCATTTTCAGCTTAAACTTTTGAATACAACCGGATTTATCTTTATAATGTTCATTCATTCATTCATTCATTTTCTTGTCAGCTTAGTCCCTATATTAATCCAGGGTCGCCACAGTGGAATGAACCGCCAACTTATCCAGCAAGTTTTTACGCAGTGGATGCCCTTCCAGCTGCAACCCATCTCTGGGAAACATCCACACACACATTCTCACATACACTCATACACTACGGACAATTTAGCCTACTCAATTCACCTGTACCGCATGTGTTTGGACTGTGGGGGAAACCGGAGCACCCGGAGGAAACCCACGCGAAGGCAGGGAGAACATGCAAACTCAACACAGAAACGGCAACTGAGCAGAGGTTCGAACCAGCGATCTTCTTGCTGTGAGGCGACAGCACTCTCTACTGCAACACTGCCTCGCCTCTTTATAGTGTTGTTGCTAATAAATACACAGATTTCTGCCCCTAAATGTTGAAATTAACAGCAGCCAATATTGTGAATTAAGTGCTGAGTCACAGAGTCAGCGCAGTTTACAAATCTCCGTTTCTATTGAGATTGAAATACCTATTAATATACTCAGAGTTTGAGAGGAAAACATTAGCCTATTATTAGATGAACTGCTACACGTACGTTGACACCTTTAGGTCCCGGGTTTCCCTCTGGTCCAACCAAACCCTGTGAGACAGGAGACATCAGTACATCAACAGTAACATCCAGACAGCTGACATGCAATGTAGAGATACTAAATCCAGTGTAAATGTGTAACGATGCTTTCAGACGAGTACAATTATTTTGGTGGCCAAAAGAGCATCAATGTGTGAGTGTCAAACAGACCTCAAGACTAAATCGGTTAGCATTTGTACATGTATTTTGCTATGCTGTATGCATTATTGTGGATGTTGGTCACTGCACCTGCCTGCCAGGGTAACCCGCCGCCCCAGACACGCCTGGCAACCCTGGCAAACCCTGAGGAGAGAGAAAGAGAAGCGTGAATGAGGGATGATGGCGTCTGCCAGCAGATGAATAGAGCTGCTATTGTTCATCTTTCTGTGAGCGTCTGCGGCTGACCCTGGCCCATGTCCATCTCTGCAGATAAAGACGGAGCTTTGTGACTCAATCAAACTCTCCGTGTATTGAGTTCCAAACCTTCCGGACGCACTTATTGAGGAGGCACAAAGGTACAACTCACAGATCTGTTTAATGCCATGTCAAACACACACAGAGCGCCACGCACAGAGAGAGACAGAGTTAAACCAAAGTCCATCAAAAGAAAGTCAATTCACTCGGTGGCCATCTTCCCTGCTGAAAAATCCAGCTTAAACCAGCCTAGGCTGGTTAGCTGGTTTTAGCTGGTCGACCTGCCTGGTTTTAGAGGGGTTTTGCCCACTTGCAGGCTGGTTTCCAGCCATTTTCAGCCTGGTCTTAGCTGGTCAGGGTGGAAAGTGACCAGCTAAACC